TCTGTTACATGCCAAGAAATCCTCGCTAAAAATTCCGGTGGACCTCCTACGGCACCTATTAGTAGTTAAAGATTTGATTTCATTCAACAAATTAATTCATGACCTGCATGTACGTGTCGCTTAGAACACGGCCATATACCAAATGGTCAATATTAATCATCCATGTAATTTGCTTTATGGGATGTTTGCAAAATTTCAACGGAGGCAATTTCTTGGCATGACGAGACAGCATCTCAGCGATAAAAGAATATGTTTGAAAGAACTATGCACTTGGCTACCTTTTTTACTTCAATTCGTTTTTAAAACGTCTTGGTTTCTTCAATTTGAATAATAGAAAATAAAACTATATATCAAACGAAAACTGGATAAAGTGAGAAACAAGTTTCTTTCATTAGTGAAAATTACTGCTTCATTGCTTATCTCAGAGTTCGAACCCTACACGTGGTAGCTTGGTTCGACTCCAATCTTAATTGACTAGGATTGACAGTTTCCTTGCCGAAGGTCAGTGGTTTTCTCCGGGCGTCCCAGCTTTCTACACACAAAAATAGCTGGGCGCCATGAAATAGCAAATAATGATAAAAGTGGCGTTAAAGACCAACAATGAATACATCAATCATTGTATATCTTAGACGTTTCACACACATATCATAGTTTTGTTAAACACGAATCTATTGATTTGAAATTGAATTTGACAATAGCAATTTTCCCGCATCGTATAATGGTGAATCCGGATAACACTGTAATATGTTCCGCTGGACATGAAAAAAGCTTAATCTCTAATAATTTTGAATAACTAGAAGAATAGATGAATTTTAAAGCAGAATTATTTTAATTTTTTGTCAGCTATTTTAGGGGAAAGCATTAAGTAATGAGAAGATATTAAAGATTTCCAAGGATAAGGCAACATTGAAGGGGTCTGTCTTTAAAGGTTGGTGTGTCCATCATATTACATATGTGGCAACCTTTTGTTTATGGCTTAAATCAAACTAAACTTTTCAAAGTTATTCAAGTTCCATTACTAACTTAATGTCGACACCTTATAATGTAGAATATCTATTTTAAACAGAAAAGGGTAATTTCTATGTCAAAAGATTGCAAAATTTCCGAGAATGAATAGAACAGTCCCTATTCGATACAACATTCGCTTACTTAGTAGACATGTCTTTGACAAGCAATACTGTGAACCACTGACAGTGTCTTTAACGATCCCATGCGCAAAAAATGACAAAATTAAAAACAGAGTATTGTCCCTGCTAACCTGAAGAGTGTAGGTTTCAGCTCGAGAGTTTCCAATGAAGACATTTTTTTTTCAGTTAAAAAATTTGAGGTACACAGTCTACAAAATGAAACAAAAGTTGAAAATCTGATGCTCGTCTTGGCGTATACTCAAGAATTTACTTATTCGGAACTGCTTAGACATGAAATGATGTCACAAGACACATGCAAACAGTCACGGCTTTTATAGAACGAGTTGCCTTTCATCAGAGACATATTGTATTATATGTCTCTGCTTTCATTCACCTTTGACACATAGTCCCACAATGCCCTATTGTTCTAAAGCATAATGAAAAAATATCTTAAAGTTCACTATAAAAGAAATAACCTAACTAATAATTTTAACCATAAAATTTTATATGGAAAAAACCCACAGATATTAATGTTTACATTCATTACAAATGACAGGAACTATATTTGTAGACAATCGATTAAGAGCAACCAAACAGGTCATTTTTGAAAATCAGATCATTTCGTCTTTTTCTATTTAGTTCTTTGAGTCTCTTTTTTGCTTTTTTTTACTTTATTATTTATGACATGAAACCTTAACTTCATGTTCTAAAACATATACGTGTGCATTGTGCTTCAATGAAAAAATATGGGGTAAACGTCAATGAGACAGCCACCTAGTGGCAGAAATAACCCAAAGACATGTGCTCGGTTTGACGGTAAACCAGATATATGCGAGATTCCCTCACGGGAAAAAGGAAGAAAGACCAGTCACAATTTGTCTTACGTTTGTTTTTCTCCCTTTTAATTAAATAAAAAAAAACAAAACCTTTCGACAGTTGATGTTGAGTTCATAAGAAAAAAATATTCCCTGTGGAACAACCCCCCCCCCCCCCCCCCCCCCCCCCCCCCCCTTTTTTTCTTTTTTTGGTGCACTCCAATTTCAACCCTCAAATAAGGCTTTCCAATCCAATTAAAATTAAAACCTTGTTTTCAACTCCAAGATACTACATTCCTGCATCACGTGATTTTTGCCACGTGGAGCTTACATTATAATGAATACCGAATATGGAAAGTGAAACTACAATTCAAAACATAAAGTCCGAAGGCACATAGCAGAAAACGAAGGTTTTCTTTTGGCAAAGGGTGCCGAGGTAATCTTCTTTGTGTTCATAATATACATGAAATATTTGCCACTGCCCCTTGTCTGTTCTATAAATTCTAACCCTGAGTTTTCTATCTGTTACATGCCAAGAAATCCTCGCTAAAAGTTCCGGTGGACCTCCTACGGCACCTATCAGTAGTTAAAGATTTGATTTCATTCAACAAATTAAATTTATGACCTGCATGTACGTGTCGCTTAGAACACGGCCATATACCAAATTGTCAATATCAATCATCCATGGAATTTGCTCTATGTGATGTTTGCAAAATTTCAACGGAGGCAATTTCTTGGCATGTTTAATACTGGTCCAATTGACGAAAAAGATTCCTCTCATAGTTCCATAAACTCGTCTGGCGAGCTTTTCTTAAAATAAGTTTTAATTTTTCACTTTAATATACAAAGTCTAGCTCCGAAAATTTACCTTATAAAAGCCGAATACTCTGAATTTGATATTTTAGCTTTTACTGAAACCTGAGTTCTAGGGAAATTCTTATACGGTATAATTCAATTCCTACACCCATGAGTAAGGTAATTACATCTGACTGGTTAAACATTAATCATGAAGACGAGTCAATCAATCTTCTAAATTATCAGGACTCATTACGTCGCGACAGAGGTCCATATAAGGCTGGTGGGGGTAATAGTTTATGTTAGAAATGATATACATGTAAACCGCCGAACTGACCTCGAAATTGACACTTTGAAAGCAGTATGGCTAGAGCTTAAATTTAATCGAAAGAAAACATTACTTGGAACCTTTTGTTTACCCCCAAATAGTAATTCAGAAATCTGGGAAAAATTAGAAAATTCTCTAGATATGGCGTCCAATGATAGTACAGTTAATTATATATTTGCCACTGGCGATTTTAACGAAAACCAGTTTGCTCGTTCAAACTCGAAAATTGCACCTTTGTTAACTCAATTTAATCTTACGCAATTGATAGATGAACCCACTCACTTTACTGAATCAGCGGCATCATTGTTAGATCTAATGATGTTCACACAATACCATACTGCGGAGTTGGTCCGCCATTATTAGATCAAACAAGGTTTCATTGTCCTGTAATTAGTCTTTTTAATTTCCCAAAATGTTGTCCAAAGACATTTAAGAAAGTTGCTTGTACGACCGCGGGGATTATGATAGGAATCGAAATATGTTTTGTGAAAAAGATTGGGATTCAGTAACAAATTCGGACATCGTTGAAGATATCACATCTGAAATAACAAAAACAATTATAGAAGCCGCTGAAAAATGGATTCCAAATAAGATTATAACAGTTAGGAAAAATGAACTCCAATGGCTCACAACTGATATAAAGAAAAAGATAAGGAAGACAAATAGAATTTACAAAAAGGCCAAACTATTTAATAACCAATCAGATTGGACGAAATTCAAAAAAATTCGCAATGAACTCACTAGCATAATAAGAAAATATAAGAAAAAATTTTAATAACAATTTGATAAAATAAAATCCTTCTACTACCGATTGGTGAAGTGTCCGGTTTGCAAAAAATGACTCAAGTATACCTCCCTTAATCGTTAATGATAATTTGATATTTGATGACGCTGAAAAGGCAAATGAATTCAATATGTTTTTTGCTTCACATTCAAATATTGATGACTCGAATGCTAAATTACCAAACGAACTCAATAATGGTAATGAAATAATTAGTAATATAGAACTTACAGACACATTAAGTTGGAGACATAATTAACATTATAAATCCATCAAAAGCGTCTGGTCCAGATCTTATAAATCCAAAATTATTGAAAGAAGCATCCTCTGTTTTAAAATATCCCTTATGTAAGCTATTTAACTTGACTGTCATTAAGTAAAGGAATTTTTCCAGATCAGTGGAAACGAGCAAACGTCACCCCTGTATACAAAAGTAATAAACCAAACGAAGTGAACAAAATTATTACAGACCCATTTCTTCATTAAGTGTAGTATCAAAATGCATGTTTTTATGCCCTTATTACTGTCTATCGTAATTAAAGCGGCAGATTAGAAAAAAACACAAGCAGCGAGCTAGCCAACAAACTTTATAGTGCAGTTGATTTATGTGTTTTATATACTAGTAATAAGCTATAGTAAAGACTAAGGTGTAAAGGTACATAAGTATAGAGAAGAATAGTAATTTAGTCATTCATATGATGAATAAAATCCTATCTTTTTACATTTTTTTTATGTTATTGAAGAGCAATCTACCTTTTCTTCTTTTAAATTCTGATATTCTCAGATATTGATCATGATGAACTATTTTGACAGACTATTATATTATTTTTTTTCAATACATTTGTCCGCCTAATATTAAATTATCGGTTGACCTTGCGTGTGTTCTCGATAAGATTTCCCTCACCATCATACCAGATCCGATCGCAATACTTGACCACCATTACTTATTCTTTCACGATAAATTTTCTCGATTTACCGAATGACAGCCGTAATAAATGCACGTGTATAAAATTTAATGTATATCTGACATCATGTATGTAGAGTATCGATTTATAAATTTCACATAAAAATATACATAATCAATTTGTAGAAGATTACTTTTATATTCAGGCAACATATGGTTGCTCTCGAGTGTGTTATTCTATATATTGTTATCAGATTAATGCAATTTTAGTTATTGACAAGTGAACGCCGGATAATAACCTTGTCTACGTCCGGGTTTAACATGTAGTATATAAATACACGTTAAGTGTGTGACGATGTATGTTCGGGCAGTGTATTTTAGTGTAGCAGCAATATTATTCAGCTGCATTGACATAACCATTGGATCATGCACTCCACCTTCCTCCTTCTGTGGTAATATTGGGCTCGAATTGAGTGGCTACAGTAGTTGCAATGACAAAGTTGACAAGGAAGACACGACACACCAGCCTATTGTATCATTCGAACATGCAGATTCGGTAAGTCACTGATAAAATAGTTAGAGGTCCTAAGAATCGAGATTTTTATTTCCGGAGAAACAGAAAAAACAAGGCAATGTATTAAAGTTCAAGCATTACAATCAGTTAACCCTCGAACACGTACACTACAGTAGGTAATACGTTACTAACGTCACAGTACCAAAATGGCACCGAGTACCCCATTTGCACTCATTTTGCAAATTAAAAGCGACAGTCCGTTGATAAAAAACAACATCGCTGAAGTATTCCCTTTTCAACTGAATACTGAAACACGAACTTATTCATCATTCATTACTAAACGTTGAATAATGAATAATGAACTATATCATTATTCATCATTGAATTTTAAATAATGAAAAATGAATAATGGACGTCCTTCAGCGCGGTTAAAAAAAACAAACGTAACCAAACGTCCGCTTAAAGTCGACTTTAAAAAAATCCAGCAATAGCAATATGCCACAGGTATCCATTTCTTACAAAATATATAATAAGCATAGACTGTTGTCAAATTGTTCTTTTAAAAAATGTTGAGGAATAAATGTCATATATCCCCGAGGAACCAGTAATGACGCACCTAAGGTTGTTTTGTCTCTGCATTTAATCTACCATTTAAAAGAATTAGAAAAACGGAATGGAATAAAAGATTGGTAACTTGTTATTATATTTCAATCATTAAACAGTTGATATTTGAAACAGTAATAGCAATAAAATTCATGTTTGCTAACATTACAAACGGACTGCCAACTAATGATGGGTACCAGTAATGACGCACTGTAAACAAACCAGTAAAAACCACTTGCACGTAACTGATAATCGAAAAATTGCTTCAATCCGGATTCTTTAAAATTAAAACTGTTCAACAGATTCAATTTTATTAACAACTTTTGATATTTTCATTCACTTTAATGATCATAATGATTGTAACACCAAATTTTTAATCAATTTAAATGTAACCTATATTTTGGTATATAATTGTTCAAAATTTAAGAAAGTGATATACATATTCCATATATTTGAAAATAAAAAGTAATTGCATTCATTAAACAACATTGACAATAATACATTTATCAATGTATACTTCATACATTGAATGAAAAAAAATCAATAAACCATAGAAAATTATATAAGCGACGATCATTTGTTCTACAGTGATTCCCGCTTAAATGTAAAACCATGTCACATGACAGTCACGTGATTTGAAAAACACAAAATGGGGAAGCATACGGTTACCTACTTTTCTTGACCAAAGTGGAGATAGGACTGATAATCTTTCGGGGAAGGGTAGAATTTTTTTGACCTTAATAAAATGGCGGAAATTGCATTGTCTTTAATATTTTAAGCAATAATAACATTTCTGGGCAGAGTTTTAGGCATCTTTGTTGTAGTCAGATGACCTTCAACATCATGTTATGTACAGCAAATGTTGATGACGTCACGGCTTTTGTTTAGAAATATAAAACCGTTAACTAAATCGGTGCGTCATTTCTGGTCCGCGTCAAAACAGGTACCAAGACGATATCAAAATATTAGTTATTGGATTAAAAGATGTGAAGTTGAACTTGCGCAATTTAGGTACTCCTCATTACAGAATCCGTCTGGGTGTTAGTCCAAATCGATGATTGTATGATTTTGTATGAAAGCAAAATTAAATGTATGGCTGGTGGTAAATAAGGATACATCTACAAAATAAATACAGAATGGAGACTTTTCTGTAAATTAATGAAGGTGATAAAACTGTAAGAGGTGCAATTTGGGTACCCTGAAGTGTTTATGGGATACGGCAAACATCACAAAGTAATTGATGAACTACGCAAACCTAGACGTTTCTACGGCTATCATCACTAAGTAATTGATGAACTACGCAAACATAGACGTTTCTACGGCTATTTTGTACTAATCGTAATTCACTTTAGGCAAACTCTGCTCTTCCCAACATAACATTTTTATGTTTTTATTTTTCATTTTCGTGATTATGGGGTCAATAGTACAAATGTTTAAGTCACTGTGTCGTGTTACTAAAAGTAGTTTAAAAAAAATGGTGGCCAGATAGTAGGTTGAGTTTTCCTTGTTTGATTGGTATAACACTCATACATGTGAAAGATATATATAGGGAAGGGGAGAGCACAATTGGTTTTGGAGTATACAGATCTAAGGTCAAGGACATTCAAGGTCGCGGTTTCTTAACATATTTTTTTTATCAAAGGTCAAGGACATTCAAGGTCGCGGTTTCTTAACATATTTTTTATAAAAAAAATTGTTTTCCGTTAGTGTTCCCGATAGGAATTGCAACACATTTATACAGGTGCAAAATTAACAGTAGATACTACAAGTGTAAGTGTCCCTCTAAGCAAACTAGCATTTTGAACCCTTGAAATAAAAATGTTTTCCCTTTATTAATAATTTAATTTTGGATGCAACACGTCTTCTGATTGGCTGACGTTGTTTTGTTTATCAGCTCATAGACATAATTTTGTTATGTAACCGTGACGTCATCAACGTTTTTTCATGGTTTACTCCGGTTTAAATGAAATTATAATTAAATTATAAGAAATGACTGAAATATTTTTTCTGTCTATTCGAAATAACATAAAAAATGTGGTGCACACTTTAAAATAACCCGCTACGCGGGTTATTCAGTGTGCACCACATTTTTGATGTTATTTAAGGAATGACTGTAATATTTTTTCTGTCTATGATAACTATGAAGAAATAACATCAAAAATGTGGTGCACACTGAATAACCCTCGTAGCGGGTTATTTTAAAGTGTGCACCACATTTTTTATGTTATTTCGAATAGACAGAAAAAATATTACAGTCATTTCTTATAATTTAATTCAAAATTCCTTTTTAAACCGGAGTAAACCGTGAAAAAACGTTGATGACGTCACGGTCACATGATAAAATTATGTCTATGAGCTGATAAACAAAACAACGTCAGCCAATCAGAAGACGCGTTACATCCAAAATTAAATTATTTCTTCATAGACAGAAAAAATATTTCAGTCATTCCTTAAATAATAAATATGCCAGCCTTATACTAGTTGTATGTGTATTTATAATTCGTTGCATTATTTATTTATGTTGTTGAGCTGTTTAAATGTTTTGCGTTGTTGATTTTTTATATCATTTTATAAATCTGGAAAAGAGGAAACCTTGAAAAAAAAACCAAACAAGACACGAAACCAACACAAAACAAAAACGAGACAAAAACAAAATAAGCCCTGGCACCCCTTAAGAATAATAGAATAAATATATACGTTACAATCTTAATTTCGACCATCGTTCGTCTTGAATTTAAGTGATTAGCCAGTGGCAGATTACTTTGAATGTTTCTCTCAGACACTGAAAACCGTGCAAAATCTTAAAATTCTCAAGATGAGCATGTATGTTTAAGTTTACCGGCTAATGAACTTATGAAGATCTTATTTTCAATAGATTAAATGAAAAATCAGAGCAAACTCCTCTGAAATGTGTATATATTTATTAGCACACTTGTTTTATATAGGCTAAAAACTCCGTCAAGAACTGGTTGAGTTTAAAATGTATAGTTCGCGGTTTTTACTTCATAATTCAAATTGCCATGTAGTGGTCCGGATTATGCAGTACTTAAAAAAAAGAGTAAATATGAAAGTAAGAAGACGTGGTCATTCCAGGACGTTTGGTTACGTTTCTGTCATGTTTGTTATATAGGGGTTCTAATTTCTTTTCAAATTCTTTAATCATTTACCTAATCGATATTTGTATGCAATTTCAAGTATTTACTGATAAACATTAACATAAAATTATAGTGATCTATGTCATTTCTCCCTTCTTCTCATTGCATCATACGGAATTTTTGACGTTCTCGCTTTGAATTTGCTTGCAGAGTTTACTGCCAAACAAATTGTAAACAAACCCCTTCAGTGCCAAGGCTTTTTTTGATTGTCTTTACGTTTACGGAATTAACGTCGACGTCACAGTACAGCTTTGATAGCGCCAAAAGATTTTAATTGAAAATTGGCGGGAATTCCGGAGATTTTAATATTTCGATAGGTTACCTACTCTGTTGTAGGACATTCTGGTCCATGTTTGAGTAAGAGCAAACTAGATAAAGTAAAATCAAGCTTACAATTTGTAAAAAAAAATGAAATAAATTGTTTTATGTTTTATGTTCTCTATACATGATCAAATAATTGCACCAATTTATAAGCTTGACGTTTACTTCTTCTCTCACTTGAACAGGGACCCGAATGTCCTTCCACAGAGAAAGTAACATGTAGGAAAATCATTTACTCACGAGTCAAAAGTCGGTTATATGAAAAAGAACTATTGCAAATGGATTTGCCACTACTTATAAAAGAAAGCTTGTGATTATTCTTTATGAATAATTTCATTATATGAGCTTGGGATCATACAACATTCAAGACACATTTATCAAGAAAGATATTTTATTCATCAGCGTTACATCGTCTGCTGTGTTTCTTATAACATATTTTATGAACACCTTTATGACAGAGAACACATATATGTTTCGACCTTTTCCTACCACCAGGAACATTTCGCACCGAACATACACAACAATCTTTTTCTTTTCTTCCCGGCAATTTTCTCAAATGTTGGTTGTTTCTTTCATCATTCAAGACCCCAAGATTGGCAGGGTTTCTTGTCATATGATCTTCGGAAAGGTCATCAATTAACAGTTGAATAAAATGGAGACGAGATTTAGCATTGTCGGAGTTCTGTTGATATAAAATAAATGCGTTTATTACCATCCTGTGTATAATGTTAAACACGATCTTCTTCCACATTTTTGTCGATTTTCGCCCGTCTTCGTAAAAACTAGTGAGCATGTCGTTCAAGTCAACGCCTCCCATATATTTATTATACCCAGTTATCATTTTAGGTTTTCGGTTTGCAACTAATTCTGCATTGTACCGGCTAGACAACAATTTGACATTTTTGCGCTTTTCTTTTTCCTTAAACGCACATACCAAAATTTCCTGCTGTCGCATGAACATAC